TGTGGCCACCGCGGACGGTGGGCGTTCAGGGGTTGACGCCGTTGGCCGAACTGGTTTTCCAAAGCAGCATGACGGCTGCGCTGCAGGTCACTCCGGATGCGGCGATAGCGGCCACAGTCAGGGCAGCGCACCGAGTTACCGTGTGGCGGAATGCACGGGGCTTGCCTTTGCGGCCTTTAGTTTGCTCCCTCCTGGGACCAGCGATCCGCGCCCGGATGACACCTCAAGGGTAGGACCTTATACGATGTTTACCCTGCTGTAGTCTGGATCCAGCTGGCCGGGCACGTAGCCGGGGTTACCAGCTACTGGGTGGCCTCCCGCGATCTCGCTGTCTGTAGGGGTAGGCGTGCAGCGCACGGCGGGAGGGGGAAGGGGGAGATCGCGCCGTAATTTAAGCTCTAGAGCTGAGTCGGATCTCTACAGGGTCCCTGAGCTTGCCGGGCACCGGACAGCTTGAGAACTTAATCGGGCTGCGGTGGGGGCCGGGACTGGAGTTCGTCCAGCGACTCTTGTATGCCGTGGGCGTCCCAGGCCAGGTACTCCAAGGTCGGATAGGCACGGCCATGGAGGGAGGGCCAGAATTCTCGGGTGGCGCTGTTGCACGACCCGAGTAACCCTTTCAAACTTTGACGTCGTTGGGCAGAGTCTAGCGTAGAACTCTTGTTTCACTCGGACCTATTCGACCATGGTTTCGTCCGTGTGGTGGGCCGGCGCTCTATTTCTCTTTGGACTCGAGGCTGGTATTCAGGTAGACGAATTCAATTTTTTTAAATATCGCAGGGGTTCTTTCCAGGTGAGGAACGGAACCAACATGGTGCCGCCAGGGTGCTGCACAGCACTAAAACGCAACGGTCAATGCGTGCGCGAGGACGTAATCGTTCCAGGCTTTCGTGGCAAGATGAAATGCCGCTAGCTCGTCCAAGAAGTCCGCCACGCACTTCCTGTCGCGATAATATGTTGAAATCGGCACTGGCACCTGGGGAAGTGAGCCCTGTCCATCATATCCGAAATCAGCCATTACCAGGCTTTATGTGACCGTGTCACACTTGTAGGCCACACCCGCTTTGAAGTCTATAGACGTGGGGTCGAATTCATCTCCGGTCTCGCACGTTTTGCGGCGTGTTTCTGGCGGATCTACATTGCACAAGCAACCGTAAAAAGGAGGAAAAAAAACATAAAAAAGGGACAACGCAAAACAAAATAACACACGAAGAGAACACAAAAGCACTGCTCGGAGTGTCCGAGCTGCATCAGATTTGTTAAAGATGGCGTCCGTTGGCTGAGACCTACTCGAACGACCAGGTAAGCATAACGAACAGGGCCAGAAATAAAATAGAATAAAAAATCGCAGCTAAGATGCCAAAAGTGTGTGGTCTAGAGGTGTGCGGCCCAACCCGCCAGAGAGAATTATGCCCCACGTTTTGCGCCAAATTCCTATGGGGTCCGGTGTATGCCTCTCACCATTCAGAAGGACACGCCATTCAGTAGATACGAATACCAGAGCCTTTATGATACAGCTAAGACTTTCACTGGCCCCGCTATCCTCACTGATCGCCCGCCGTGAGTCCGCCTTGCGCGCCCTGTCCCTGGCCTGTGGCATGATCTCTCCACGTGCCGATCCTGCCAGTGCGGCGCGTGCCTCCACATTGTCCATACGTTTGAGCTGGAATTAAACGGTGCATAAGAAATATTAAGTTTAATATTAACTGGTAAAATGCGTGATGCCACTTGAACCAAATGAGTCAAAGACATCTGTTGTGGTGGCCCACGCATTTCCAGCTGAACTTCCGCAAGCTCCCTATGACGCCCTCCAGTTCCACATTGCTGATGAGTAGCAAGTCGGGTCAACGCAAGAATTACACTTCAGCGTGCCAGCTACGAAGAAAGGTAGCGTTTTAGTCTTGACAAATCTGCACACATTGAGTGACGCCAGTAAGTGAATAGCAGCGAAGCTTCCAGCTCGATGATTAGGACCACTCCGAATCATCGGAAAACTCTGAATCAACCACATGTTACGGGCGAAGCTCCTTGGGGGCTAGCCATGCCCGCATATCCGTCCGATGTCCGGCGTTGGGTGCTCGTGCTCACGAGCACGTGAGCACGTGCTCCCGTGCTCGTGTAGGGAAAAAAAAAAACCGCATCTCCACGTGGTGAATGATGTTGAATGGGGCGAAGCTCTGGTGGTGCTTGTCTGCGTAGATGGTGAGCCGCAGCATGCCGAGCCTTTCGTTCGTTTTCATCCATGTCAGAAAGAGAATGTGTGGTATGGAACGTGGTTATATAGGGAGTATTCACCGGCGGCCATATCCGTGTGCGCAGCTGCTGAGCGCGTGCTGACGGCGAGCTTCCGCAGTCCTTTCGGAGCGTGCATTTAGCACCATCAAGGTTGCCGGTTTTAGCAGGCTATTAATGTGAGCTCGTTCTGAGCATGCGCTCTAAACAGCACCCACAAATGTGGCGTCCAGTGAATACCTCCTATACGCATTTGAGCATTTCACCGCAGCGTGACATGGATGAAAACGAACGAAAGGTTCGGCATGCTGCGGCTCAGCGTCTACGCAGACAAGCGCCACCAGAGCTTCGCCCCAATCAACATCATTCACCACGTGGAGATGCGTTTTTTTTAAGGGATTCCATTTCTAGTATACTGTTAGGAATAGCTCACGCAGACCAGCTGTCACTGTGTCACCCTCCGTGGTCCCTGATATCCCTCATCTTTTCACATTACAAGAGAGAGTAAGGTTGCAAAGAAAGAGGCGGCTATGCGCTCCTGATATCACAACGACGAGTGGAACACCAGTCGTCGCACTGGTGGCGCCACGATAAGAATAAAGCGAAGTAGAAACTAAACAATGGGCTTTCACTGAAAATGAAAGTGTTTTGCTAAATTAGGTCTGGAAGTAGCCCAGTGCTTGGATCTCTGTTGTCGGGAAATGTTTTGGGCTAATGAAGTCTCTGTTGTGATTAAACTCGTTATCTCCAACCAGACCGCTGCGGCGTCATTTGTCTACGAAGCGAGTTCGCGCCTATGTTGGAAAGGGCGAATTGCACAGCGGTACTAGCAAAACTGGTGCGGGTTCGTGCGTTTCTTGTTTTTTTAAACAATCAGTGCATAACAATACAAGCTTTATAGAAACTTTAGATTAATGATACGACTGCGTTCCCTTAGGTACATCAAGACATTGCTGGTCCTTGTGCTTTAAGGGGAAAGAGCTCGAACTACGGCTGGCGTCGGGAAGAGGAGTGTTTTGATCTTGCCTCCTAACTTGCATCCTGCCTTCAGCACTTAGAAAAGTCGGAGATAGGTCAATAGAGTTTAGTATGGTGTACCCCAGACAAGATTCAGTCTTTTCGTTTGCGGAATACCTGCGTTTTTTTTGTGTTTTTTTGTTGTTTTTTTTTCGTGTGGTGGGATGTTTCCGATGAAGTCTTCCGTCTTATTTTGTCATGGTTCAGAGTTAAATACATTCGCAGTTGAATACTACGACCGGAAAAGGAGGTGGTTTCCTTGAATCTTGCAAACCCTTCAAATTGAAAACAAAAAAGATTTCTTAAGAAGTCGCTTTTGTTTTATTCTACTTTTCGAAAATTAACTGAAATTGTAAAATAATGTGTACATTTCCTCTCCCGGAGTTGAATATACAGTGTTGGGCGTTTTTTTTTTCTTCCGAGGTGGTCAGCGAAACAAGCATGCGCCTGAATCATCCCACCTCTCTCCATTTTCATCCGCCTTTTTCCGTGACATCAAGCACAATTCATTAGCCACCTTGTCACCATTAATGAAATAGCTCTGTTCCGGAGACGCACATAGACGCAGCTTGCATGAGCAGTACGAACTCTTCCCCAGCGGCTCGCCTCCCGTCGTCTGACTCGCCGGATAACTGTTATGAAAACTACAGCGTTTTCTAAAGGATATGCATGTTTCGAAACACATTGTCTAGATGTCTTTTAAGAGTATTCAATATAACAGACAGTTTTAATACGAAAATCTAGATGGCGGTGTAAACAGCGGAAGGCGAACTGAAGGGAATGAGAAAAAAAGGGGGGGGGGGGGGGGGGGCGGGGGGGTTCTCCTCCACTACTCCGAGGGAGTTTAAGGCCTGACGTATTCTAGGAACTTTGCACCTGGCGAACCTCGTGATGTCACTTCTTTAAGAGCTCCTGCCGTCTGTGCGCCGATGCATCGTCAGGACAAAACCTTACACTTTCCCTCCGCAACGGGTCCTGGAAACCACAGAAAAAGTTTGTGTTTTATCCGCAAGCCGGAATGCTCCAGGTTTGGACCCTAGATTTTGTATAATTACAAAGATGGAAATGTTCCATGCATGGAGTATGGACGCTGGCATCACTGGTTCTATGGGACCATATTGCTGACGACGCGCGTTCTGCAGAAAGAAGGAAAACATGGGTTGCAAGGCCTCTATCAGATGTTTTCCTCGCTTTAGTGAGCAGAAAAGGACGGTCGTCGCGCATTGTATGAAAATAAATAAAGTTGACGGTCTCTTTAAAAAAGAACTTTAACACGTCGCAGCAAAATGAAGACGCCTAACGTACCGGTTTCTCATCAGGCTTTCTGTCGCACTTTCTCTCGTTCCTTTCTCTCAGCGCACGCAACGAACCTTTCTATAGTAACGAGCGCCGTCTGGGGAGTTGTTTGCGAACTACAATAGAAGAGCAGCCTAATTTGCCCTACACCCACCAAAACACATTGGCATCGTGCCGTTGCGCATAGTACGATACTAACAAACAAAGTGTCAAAATAGACTAAATACGCGCGATTTTTGCATGGCACCGCGTCCCGGTGTCCTGCGAGAATGGCGACAGCGGGATTGTTCTCATGGGCAGTAGCTTACTGTTAACAGGTCAATTAAACGTGTTTTGCTCCCGTCTTTAGCACTCAGGTTGAACCACATTTTTGCTTAGCTTCCCTTCCGAACGCAAGTAAAACTTTGAGCTTTCGACGCTGTATGTCATTCTTCAAAAATACCTATTGCTTTCAGGCAGAGTGCGCGGCTCTCATCCTCGCGGATAAATATACCCCTACAAGCTTCTACGAGATGTTGCTTAAAATTGCCCCTGAACTGGAGAAGTCGGCGCCAACAGAGTTGAAAAGCAAACGGTAACGATTCGGGTGCTTCATTATTGCTTCGAAACTTGGCAGCTGGCTTTCATTCAAAATGTCACATCTTTTGCTGCCTTCTTCCAGTCTACCATTCTTGAAACACGTCATCACCATCGGCGACAACCGGAAGCCGTGAGTACCTTAAAGCACAGATGTGTCTGTCAGCTTGAGAATGTCTTCCCGGAGTGACACGGTCGGCTAATGTTTTTGGTTTATTGTGATTTAAAAATGTCTTTTAATTCCGTTAATCGCACCTTAGATGGAGCTCCAGTAGCTGATTATTTTATTAAAAGATACTGGAAGCTTCCAACTAAAAAAACACTTTTCCTATTATTGGTTCGTTTTATTTTCCATGGTTTTGTAATTGCCTACAATAAGATGATCAGCCTGAAATGATTTTCGACGTCTTTGTATAATTAAGGCGCAAAAGACTTAGTGCGCGATGACTTTAAAAAGACGTATGCCAATGAATAGCGACATTCAAGTTTAGGAATGAAGTCACAAATAAAAAATAAATAAAAAAAAATAAACATTACAATCTAAAGTAAAACAATATTGAGGCAAGCTTGTGCTTACGAAAGGAATTAGCAAGGTGCCAGAATGTTGTGTAGACGACAAACAGAACGACTGATGCGAAGAAGCTTGTTTAGGTTCCTATCACACAGGCGCTATAATCAGGATGATTATAATCCTTAACATGCAGTATTGCCGCGAACGCGCGGGAAAATGCAGATTTCCGCGCGTTCGCAGAAATCTGCATTTCCGCTAATTGCGCGTATCTAAGTTCAATTATTAGAAGTGAGAAAGTACGCAATGCATTCTTGCGTGGGTAAAATCGTCTTGTATAGATTTACAGACAGTTCGTACAAGAATGAACATTACCATATTATGGTACCAACTAAAACTACAAAAATGAAAGATGTTTAGAACACCCTGTAATGCCGAATTACAGCGCAGCTCCTCAGGAGGAGAAGGGGAGGGAATATTAAGGGGAGGGTGTGCCCCTCCTTCTCATCCGTACCCTCCTTTCCTCCCCTCCTCTTCCCGTGTTCCCCTTCGTCCTCTTCTCCTTCTCCCTTCCTTTCCTCCTCCTCTTGCTCCTCTCTTGAGGTATTTCGATTTTGTGATATATCCTTTCAGATTTGTTTAAAAAGGTCATGAAATCTAGACTTATGCAGTTTGTGCAGGTGGGCTATACAGCCAGGCGCACATTATGTGGGAGGCTAATGTTTGCGATAAGTGTAATGAATAATTAAATTCGTTAATTGACTTTTTTATTAGTAAAAATAGACATATGGTTCTAATTAGAAACTCGTAGAGCATCATCGAAAACCACTAGATCAATTATTAAAAGGATATAACGCCGCGGCAACATTTTACGGCGTTCATTAAACACGCTCCATTTGGACGCGTTTCCAGATTTCGGTTTCTTGTCGAAGCGCATCTTTGCGCCCGCGGTCCTTCTCCCCAGTGGCTGAGACGCGCAACACACATCTGCCCTAATTCCCTCCGTTCTACGAGCGAGGCGAGGGGGTGGCTTCGCGCCGCGACCACCGGGGAGCAGAACCGCGGGCGCAAAGATGCGCTCCGATAAGAAACCGAAATATAGAAACGCGTCCAAATGGAGCGTTTTTACAGAACAACTTAAAATGCTGCCCGGCGTTATATCCTTCTAAGAATAGTTGGTTTGGTGGTTTTCGATGATGCTCCACAAGTTTTTAATTGGAAGCGTATGTCTATTCTCACTAATTAGAAGTTAGTTAACGAATTCGAATTAACTAGCCGACATATCGCAAAAATTAGCCACCCAGATAGTGTCCGCCTGGCCTGCACATAATGTCCACATAGTCTCCACACAGTGTCAACCTGCACAAACCGCATAAGTGTAGCTTTCCCGGCTTTTTTAAACAAATCTGAAAGAATAAATAAAACACCCTGTACATATATATATATATATAAAGCTTTTTTTTTTTTTAAGCTTAACAGACGTTTTAAAAAACAGCCATGAAAGCTAGGTTAATGCGGTCTGCGCAGGTGAGTTATACGGCCAGAGCGACATAGTATAGGGAGCTAATCGTAACGATCGGACGGCAAATTAGTTAAAATTCGTTAATTAATTTTTTAATTAATGAAAATAGAGATATAGTTCCAATTATAAATTTGCTCAGCGTGACCGAAAACAACTAAATCAGTAATTTTCAGAAAGACTTTGAACACGTGAGAAGCGTAGTTGTGCACTAAATTTACCGCTTGTGGAGCAGGTACAAGGCTGGGGCTAGATAAGAGACGAAAAAATTGTGCCGGCGCCTTATCGAAACCGCTAGCTTTGTACGCGCTCCACGAGTGCTAACTTTAGTGCACTACTACGCTTCTCATGCGCTCAAAATCTTTCTGAAAATGACTGATTTAGGGGTTTTCAATGACGCCCAGGAAGTCTCTAATTGATATTATATGTCTATTTTCATTAATTAAAAAGTTCATTAACGAATTTTATCTAATTAGCCGACTGATCGTTACAATTAGCCTCCTATAATATGTCCCCCTGGCCGTATGACTCACCTGCGCAGACCACATTAATCTAGATTTCATGGTTTTTGAACAAAAATTCTGTTAAGCTTAAAAAAAAAAACCTATATATATATATATAGTGTTCTCGCTTATCGCTTGTCCGGTGAAAAAATATGTAGTTCTGACATCTGGGCCCGTTTGCTCGAAACGCTAACCGCGGCTAAAGTTAGCCGCAGTACCTAGGAGAGGGATTTTGAGATCATGTGACTGGCTCGGCAGGGATGCGGGGAAACATGGCGGTGCCCCAGTGAGTGAGCGCCGGTCACTTTGGAACTAATATGTCGTTGTAGCTGCAATATCGGGCGCGTTAGTCAGCAACGAATAATGCAGGAGGCTTTTGCTTTGCTTTACCTCACTTAAACCGCAAAGCCTGGGCAATGACATCGCCGCATTTTTTAGGTAGTGTTTCGATTCGGGGCATTCCTAAGTCTACGTCTTTAGAAAGCGGATTGTTGATAGCACACAAAAGCAGACAGCGTCCCGACAGAATTTTTTCTAAATTATCCAAGCATCGCGAGGAGAACGCTGGAAGTGTAATTCTACGGTTCACGCGCGCTGGCCTCTCTCATAAAAGATTTGAAGTAAAAAAATCATAATAAGGCATTAACGAACGCGCGTGCAAGGCAAAATTTGTTTTATACTTTTTGCTTTAGTACGGTTACTACTGCAGACGGAAGCACGTGCGACGCGTGAAACTACAGTCGTAGCACGCACCTCGGTGCTTGGGAAATTTAGAGAAAAGGTCTGATGGGACGCCGTCTGTTTTTGTGTGCTATCAACAATCCGGTTTTCAAAGACGTTGGTATGCCGACAATTATACCGTTCATTTAGGCTTAGGAGTGCCCAGAATGGAAACACTATCTAAAAAATGCGGCGATGTCATTGCCCATGCTTTGCGGTTCAAGTGAGGTAAGGCAAAGCGAAAGCCTCCTTCACCATTATTTGCTGACTAACGCGCCTGATATTGCAACCACGACGACATATTAGTTCCAAAGCGAGCGGCGATCACTCACTGGGGCACCGCCATGTTTCCCCGCATCCCAACCGAGCCAGTCACGTGATCTCAAAATCCCCCTCCTAGGTACTGCGGCTAACTTTAGTCGCGGTTAGTGCTTCGAGCAAACGGGCCCTGGACGCTCCACCCTGTCTAAGTTTCGCCGGTGCCAGGAAACAGGACGGAATGATCATGGCGGGAGGACGAGACAGCGTTAAAGTCAACACGTTGACGAAGCACGTAATACTCTCGATGTCATCGTACTTGCTGTCGGCTCTGTCGAAGACTGCTCGCCGTTTTTGATTTCCTCAGCATTAGTCTTGAGTGTGCTCCCCCGAAATGGCACAGCAAAACAGCGAGTGCAAGTCCCCCGGGGCCAATGGGATGTTTTCCTGCATAACTGCCATGAAGTTCTCCTTTGTCTCGCACAAAATATTCTGTGAGTGCCGTAGGCGAGAGATACATAGCAACCTCGGAGCTAGCCTTTGTCGACCTTAGTGGCACACAATTTACCAATTTCATCATACGTGCGACAGAGATCGATGGGTACAGCACGGACCCGTACCCATGTAAATGGCCACTTGGATAACGAATACTCCACGTTTTCGTACGTACCTCTTTGCGAATTATGAATGGTGATATCACTTGACTGCACAACGGGTAGCTTGCATCTCCCCTCCTCGTTCCTCCCTCCTCCTCCCTCCTACTGCTCCCCTTTTCATCCTCCCTCCTCCTCCCTCCCCCTCCCTCCTCCTCCTCCTTCCTTCATCTTCGCACGTTTTGTGGAAATATCGGTTCATATGCGAGACCCCCGGGTCCATCCCGTTCGAAAATTCCGTCAAATTTGTTAGGATGGTTACGTTATTCGCCAAACGCGCGGCGTTCCCTTGCATGCACTCGCAGACTTGGCTCACTCGTCGTGTCGAGCTTCAGCCTCCATGCTTCCATTCTGAGGTTTGAGCACGCTGTTTCGAGGCGCCGACGTCTACGGCATCGCTGGTTTCGTCGTCAGTCTTTGAATCTGATCGCAGCAGGAATGAGAGTGATGGTTACAAAGATATTTTGGAGGCTGGTCGTTTGACTTCGACCCGCTCGCGACCAGCTCCAACGATGTCGACGAGATTGTCACGGACGAACTCGCCGTCACCCGTGACGGTCTCGCGCGTGCATGTGGGGTTGAAGGTAACAGGGCAAGGGGGCGAGAGCAAAAGCATTCGCAGGAATAGACGAGAAGTGTGAGAGTGTGCGATCGTACATGGCGAGGCGAACTTGAAAGAGCACGTGGGCACCTAGAATGAGAATGCGAATAACTAGATGTGATCATCACGTGGTTTATGGCCACTATTGTGTCACTCACTCGAGCAGTGTTGCCTGATCGCCAGACGAAATTTATTGGCCTTCGTAATTGAAATATTGCATTTACTAGAG